AAAAAATAATTTTATTTATAAATATTAGGTATATTGATATATAATTAGTAGGGATGCATTGAAATTTTGGCCGCAGTAAATGGCTTTTGGCTTTAGTTTTTGGCCGAAAGAGAAAAACGGCTGAAAATATTTAGCTGTACTGGGCAACGCTGGTAAAACGACGCTACGCTCCGCTCACATGCTCCGATAATAATAGCTTAGTAGCATTATTTGGATAATAATAATAAAAAAATCTTAAATCTGATTCGGTTACATCGAACTTAATAAAAATAACACTGATATTTAACAATATATTTTCTGTCCAATTTTATTGCTTTACTTTCAATAAAAGTGTGGTTTAGTATCATTATAATTATCGAGTTAAATCAAATTCTTACAAAATTATTTCCTATTATTTAATAAAATAATAAATAATTATTAAAAAGCATTTTCGGTTTTCGGCCAAGTGCATCCAGTATTTTCAGGTTTCGGCCCAGAATTAATTAATTAGTTAATTAGTTAGTTCGTTCGATAAATAAATAAATAAATATATATTTTTTTTAATGGTTGCAGCCCCAAAGTTACCCTCTGTGCTGTTTATTTGCCTTATCCTTTGTTTTACCCCTTGCCTTTAGTGTAATAAGTGTTGTGTGTAAGTCACTGTATGTTGATGATAATGCAACTGAGAGAGAGAGTTTAATGTGCACTTCTCCTGCTGTTTTGTTTAGCTCTTACTGCGATTTGTTTGGAGTGAAAAAGGACACAAACTTAAAACATCAGTAAAGTTTTGGTCATCATTCAGATGAGGTCCGCTACACTTACAAAAGTGATTTAGTCAAGAAAAGGTGTGCAATCTTTTGTTATTTGATTAGCATTAAAGTGCAGACAGCAGCGCTAGGATTATGCAACAGACATTATACAGCTCAGTGCCTTCACGCAGTTAATTAATAAACCATCGGTTTGTCATATCGGCCTTTTTCCTTATTTAGCCGATATGCCGATGGTTGTAAATTGAGGAAAAATCGGCCGATATATCGGTGCATCCCTAATTAAAATAATTTACCAAAAAAGCAGTTATGGTTAAAATTTCTTCAAATGTAATAAAGAATTGTTAATAAACCAACTAAAATAGTAAATGCTCGTCATTTCTTTTAAATATTTCTATTTAGCTTTATTTTTCTTTCAGTTTTAGTAATTTTAGTACTTCACCTGAAATTATTTAAAACGAGTTGCCATGACAACATTTCTAATTTATATTTAAGTTTTTGAATTTTGGGTTTCATCAAATATTTATCCTCATTTCAAAAAAAGATTTTTCCACAGTTAAATTGTCTGTTGACAACACGAGAGAAACTTTAAGGGCTCCGTGCAATATTAATATTGCAACTTTACAATATTAATTTATATAATGTTTTTCTTAAATACTCATTGTTTTACTTTACAGTTAAATATTACAATACTTACAATAGTAATATTTCTTATTTTGTTTAATTTTTTATATAATGATAAAAAAATGACTTTCAGAAAAAATAATTTTATTTATAAATATTAGGTATATTGATATATAATTAGTAGGGATGCATTGAAATTTTGGCCGCAGTAAATGGCTTTTGGCTTTAGTTTTTGGCCGAAAGAGAAAAACGGCTGAAAATATTTAGCTGTACTGGGCAACGCTGGTAAAACGACGCTACGCTCCGCTCACATGCTCCGATAATAATAGCTTAGTAGCATTATTTGGATAATAATAATAAAAAAATCTTAAATCTGATTCGGTTACATCGAACTTAATAAAAATAACACTGATATTTAACAATATATTTTCTGTCCAATTTTATTGCTTTACTTTCAATAAAAGTGTGGTTTAGTATCATTATAATTATCGAGTTAAATCAAATTCTTACAAAATTATTTCCTATTATTTAATAAAATAATAAATAATTATTAAAAAGCATTTTCGGTTTTCGGCCAAGTGCATCCAGTATTTTCAGGTTTCGGCCCAGAATTAATTAATTAGTTAATTAGTTAGTTCGTTCGATAAATAAATAAATAAATATATATTTTTTTTAATGGTTGCAGCCCCAAAGTTACCCTCTGTGCTGTTTATTTGCCTTATCCTTTGTTTTACCCCTTGCCTTTAGTTGTTGTTTCTTGATTTGAGCGAGGATTGTGTCCCTTTAGTTAGAAGAAATTGGTTTTATTTAGTTTTTTGATTTGGCAACACTTGCGCTCTCATCATCATTTCATTGGTGAGTTTGTAAATATCCAAGACTTTATCTTTTTGTTTTTTGTTAATTGTATAATATATATATATATATATATATATATATTTGGATGCATTTATAGCCTATTTCTTAGTTTACTGGTTCTTTTTCTCTGTTTGAACTCGTCCTCTTCACATCTTCACAACTAACCCACCGTTTTGATTTTGAAACTTGGTTATAGAGTTTTGTGAATGTTACATTCCCTTAATGTTTCTAGACAACTTTTTTTTTTTTGTTAATTGTATAATATATATATATATATATATATATATATATATATATTTGGATGCATTTATAGCCTATTTCTTAGTTTACTGGTTCTTTTTCTCTGTTTGAACTCGTGGCGTTCTCCTCTTCACAACTAACCCACCGTTTTGATTTTGAAACTTGGTTATAGAGTTTTGTGAATGTTACATTCCCTTAATGTTTCTAGACAAATCAAAGAAGTTTTGTGTCGTAACACGGTGCATCCCTAATAATTACTCATTTATCATATTGACATAAATGTAAAATTTTTTGGCAAATTGTGCAGCCCTACAAACACTTTGAAGCTTTAAAAAAAATAAAAAAAA